ATGCCCTTAAAATGTTTACCATTGAGCCAGAAGATAAACAGGAGTGAGTAGCCTATATTTAGAATTTATTTCATGGTGCCCTGTTATTAATAATAACTGCCCATTTTGGAGTGTCCATGGCCCTTTGAAATGCATTACTTCATTCGAGCCACTGACAGTTCTGGGATTACAAGGTCTGGTTTGAGGATGAGGAACCTATGACAGAAATGACTTTCCTAAGGCCACACAACCTACAAGTGATAGTGTTGGGACTTAAACTCAGTCTTGGGAATTGGACTGGTCAGAGCAATGATTTTCAATTGGTGTGCTGCAAGAATTTTTAAAACATTCACTAACTGTATCAGGGGCACTGATCTCTTTTCCCCTAGATTGTCAAATAAAAAAATGATAGCAATAGCCAATTGGTGTGAAGGAATCAAAATGATCCCTATTTTTTGTCATATTGGCAAAAAATATAATATATATATATTTTTTAAATATTTCATTTATGTATTTTCAGACAGAGGGGAAGGGAGGGAGAAAGGGCGGGAGAGAAATCGATGTGTGTTTGCCTCCCATGCGTCCCCCACTGGGGAACTGGCCCACAACCCAGTCAGGCATGTGCCCTGACTGGGAATCGAACTGGTGACCTTTCGCTTCACAGTCTGGTGCTCAATCCACTGAGCCACACCAGCTGGGGTGATATATATATATATATATATATATATATATATATATATTTTTTGGTGTGCTGCAGAATTTTAGTAATTAGTTTATGTATGCCATGAGATAAAAAAGGTTGAAAAATCTCTGGTCTGGAAGAATTTTCTGGAAGATTCTAGCGTTCTTTCCACTGTACTGCCACTCCTGGTAGCTACTCAAGGAGAGACCTGACCTTTTGACACAGGTTCAAGGCCAGCCTGCACCAAAGATCAATGCCACATAGCATCTAATCAGAGGGGAGGACAAAGGTGTGTCTTGGACTCAGAAGCTCTGGTTTTGTTCCTGGCTGTTAATCATTATGTGGATCGAGACAAGTGACTTGACTTTGCTGAGCCTCAGTTTCCTCACCTATTAAATGGAGATATAATAACACTGTTTTCTTCTTCAGTGGGTTCTATTAAAAGAGACAATCTATGGAGAGCACTTAGCCGAGTGCCTCATACACACACACACACACACACACACACACACACACACACTGGCTTTACTAAAGATTACCAGGTTGAGACCTTAGTACACAAACAAATGGTAAATGTACCTTCACCCCTGAAAAGAACCATCTTGGCCAAGAACTCAAATGAATTAAAAAAAAAAGACTTTTCTTTTGAGATAATTGTAGATTTACATGCAACCAAGAGAAATTCCCTATATTCTTCACCTATTTCCCCCTCCCCATGAGATGACTTTAATACAATGTCACAACCAGAAAATTGACTTTGATACAGTTCACCTACTTTATTGGTATTGCACAGGTTTACATGCATTCATTTATATGTACATGTTCTTTTTTAAAAATCTATTTCATTGATTATGCTATTACAGTTGTCCCATTTCCCCCCTTCATTGCCCTCCACCCTGCACACCCCTCCCTCCACTTCCCCCACTTTAGTTCATGTCCATGTGTCCTAAGTTCTTTAGCTTCTACATTTCCCACACTACTCTTGCCCTCCTTCTATCTATTTTCTACCTACCGTCTATGCTACTTATTCTCTGTACCTTCTCCCCCTCTCTCCTCCTCCCACTCCCCTGTGGGTAACCCTCCATGTGATCTTCATTTCTGTGGTTCTGTTCCTGTTCTAGTTGTTTGCTTAGTTTGCTTTTGTTTTAGGTGTGGTTGTTAGTAACTGTGAGTTTGTTGTCTTTTCATTGTTCATATTTTTTATCTTCTTTTTCTTAGGTAAGTCCCTTTAACATTTCATATAATAAGGACTTGGTGACGATGAATTCCTTTAACTTGACCTTATCTGAGAAGCACTTTATTTGCCCTTCCATTCTAATAAAAGCTTTGCTGGATAGAGCAATCTTGGATGTAGGTCCTTGTCTTTCATGAGTTGGAATCCTTCTTTCCAGCCCCTTCTTGCCTGTAAGGTCTCTTTTGAGAAATCAGCTGACAGTCTTCTATGGGCACTCCTTTGTAGGTGACTGTCCCCTTATCTCTCGCTGCTTCTAGAATTCTCTCCTTCATTTTAATCTTGGCTAATATAATGATGATGTGCCTCGGTGTGTTCTTCCCTGGGTCCAACTTCTTTGTGACTCTCTGAGCTTCCTGGACTTCCTGGAAGTCTATTTCCTTTGCCAGATTGGGGAAGTTCTTCTCTATTATTTGTTCAAATAAGTTTTCCACTTGTTGCTGTTCTTCTTCCCCTTCTGGTACTTCTATAATTTGGATGTTGGAATGTTTAAAGATGTCCTGGAGATTTCTAATCCTCTCCTCATTTTTTTGAATTCTTGTTTCTTTATTCTTTTCTGTTTAGTTGTTTCTTTCTTCCTTCTGGTGCACTCCATTGATTTGAGACCCAGTTTTCTTTCCATCACTATTGGTTCCCTGTGCATTTTCCTTCATTTCACTTAGTGTAGCCTTCATTTTTAATCTAATTTGTGACCAAACCAACCAATTCTATGAGCATCCTGATGACCAGTGTTTTGAACTGGGCATCTGATAGGTTGGCTACCTCTTGGTCCCTTAAAAGTATTGGCTCTTTAAAAAAAAAAAAGTATTGGCTCTGGGGCTTTGATTTGTTCTTTTGTTTGAGCCATAATTTTTTGGTCTGTTTGGTTGCTCCTGTTACGTATGATGGATGGAGCCTTAGGTGTTTACCAGGGCGGGGACCCAGTGGCTGGGTTGTGACGCTCTATGTGGTGGCAGGGTCAGAGAGGGACAATGGTGCTTGCTCTGCTCTCTCTTGGATATCAGTCCCCTCTGTCACTTCCCACAAGCAAATTGGGCCCTTCTGGTGCTGGTTCCCGGGTGGATGGGGTTGTGTACATTCTAGGACCCTGGGGGTCTTCTCCAAGGAACTCTCTGTGAGCCTGGGAGTCTCTCCCGGCACCTCAACCCCTGCAAGTTTTTTCAATCAGTGCTTTTAGGCTTTATTTCCCTGGGGCCCTGAGTTGCTTGGTCTGTCTCACTGCCTGTTTTTTGCTTGGTTTATCTGTTCGTGTGTTCGGGGCCAGCCAGCTGCCTTGCGTGCCTCACTGGGTGAGGGGCACCATTTCCTCCCCGTACAGGGTGTGCCAATCACCGCTTTCTCCTGCCTCTACCCCTCTCAGCCGGCTGCCAACTCTGCCCCACCCCTCTTACCGGTCTGGATGAATGGTTTGTTCTCGTTGGACTTTGATACAGTTCAATTTTCTGTCTGTTCTGGTTGTGTTTTTCTTTCTAAATCTTTGTTGTCCTTAAATTTGGTTGTGCGAGGAGGAACAGTATTTCCACCAACGCCTCCATCTTGGCCGGAAGTCCTAAGCATATGTTTACTTCTGTGCGTTCCTTTGTTTGACCACTGCCACAGTCAAGATATAGACTGGCTGCATTTTAAGGATCCCTATTGTAATCCTTTTATAATCACATCCTTCTCCCTTCCTTTTCATTTCCCTAATCCCTGACAACCATTAATCTCTTCTCCATCTCTATAATTTTGTCATTTCAAAAATATTACACATATATACACAATGTATGTAGCGTCTTGAGGTTGGCTTTTTCATTCAGCATAATTCCCTTGAGATCCCATGGAGCTGTTTCAGGTATCAATAGTTTCTTTTTATTGCTGCAAAGTATTGCATGGTATGGATGTGCCAGTTTGTTTTATATTTGCCCATTGAGGGATATCTGGTTTGTTTCCAGTTTGGTGCTATTATAAATAAACCTATGAACAATCATGAGGAGGTTTTTGTCTGATCATATTTTCATTTTTTCTGGAATAAATATCTAGGAGTACAATCACTGGATGTTGGTAAGTGTGTGCTTAGTTTTGTTAAGACAGTACCATACCTTTTTCCAGAATGATCCTGCTATTTTATGTACCCACCAACAATGTGTAAGCAATCCAGTTTCTCTACATCCTCACCAGCATTTGGTGTTATCACTATTTTAGTCATTCTGATAGGTATGTAGTTAGATCTCATTGCCATTTCGATTTGCATTTCTTTAATGATTAGTGATGCAGAATATATTTTCATATGCTTATATCCATCTGTGAACTCCCTTCAGTGAAATGTCTGTTCATGTTTTTTGCTGATTTTCTAGTTGGGTTGTTTGATTTTTAGCAGTGAGTTTGGGAGTTCACCATAAGTGTAGTTTACAAATATTTCTCATAGCCTGTGGCTTGTCTTTTCATCTTTTCACGGGGTCTTTCACAGAGCATGTGTTTTCGCTTTGATGTGATTCAATTTCTGAACTTTTCCTTTCATGGGTTATGCTTTGTTGTCAGGTCTAAAACCTTTTGCCCTTGCCCTAGATCTCAAAGATTTCCTTCTTCTTTTGAAAAGTTTTATATTTTACATTTAAATCCTTCATCTATTTTGAGTTAATTTTTGTATATTGATGTATGGTTCAGGTTGGTGTTTTGGATTGGGGTTGGGTTTTCTTTTCTGCCTGTGAATGTCCAATTGCTCCAGGACCATTTGTTTAAAAGTCTTTCTTCTATTGAATTGCTTTTACACCTTTGTCAAAAATCAATTGGGCGTATTTGTGTGGATCTATTTCTGGGCCAAGATCCCAAAGCAATTTTGACTCAAATATTGAACTTGGGTGAAGAAAACACAAGAAATCAATCCATATGAAGACTTAATGAAGACTAACATGTGAAGCATTTATCAAACAATCTAATGTTCTATGTAATTAAGTATAAAAGTATAAGAAATGGACTGGGAGTACCCTGATGATTCAAACATATACTCGGGAAGTGGTCTAAAGCAGCAGAGTGTATTGAAACAGGTCTTGCTTTTTCTTTTGAGAGAAGTTTGCTGCCTGAACGGATTAAGGGCGGGTAGGTGCTACCCGCCACTTCCCCTTCTCGGAGTTACCTCAAGACCTCAGGAGAATACAAACTTGCAGGTGTTTTCCTTGGAGGTCGTTCAATGGGCTCAAGAGCAGCTGCTTCTGTAATGTGTCATATTGAACCAGATGACACTGATGATTTTGTCCGTGGTCTCATTTGTATTTCTTATCCATTACACCATCCAAAGCAGCAGCATAAACTTAGAGATGAAAACCTGTTTCGTATAAAAGAACCTGTATTATTTGTGTCAGGCTCAGCAGATGAAATGTGTGAAAAGAACTTGCTGGAGAAAGTTGCACAGAAAATGCAAGCTCCTAATAAAATCTGCTGGATTGAGAAGGCAAATCATTCTATGGCAGTGAAAGGACGGTCAACAAATGACATTTTCAAAGAGATAAATACACAAATTTTGTTTTGGATCCAGGAAATCACTGAAATGGACAAGAAATAATTGTCTTTAGTCCAGAGACATATTACTTTGAATACGACTACAGTTAATTTGATAGCGCATGGCATAACTCAGCATTTTGAGGTATATTTTCAACTAATTTAATGTCTTTTAATGTTACCCCATTTTTAAAACATGTTTTAATTGTGAAATTAATGTCTTTTACAAAATGTATTTTGAAAGCATAGTTCCGTAAAGATGATGCCCAAATTTTGAAGTTAAGTTTGAAAAAAATTAAACATTTGAATTTTGTTACAGTGGGAAAAAAAAAAAAAAAAAAGAAAGAAACAGGTCTTGACTTTGGGGCCAGGGACACCCGCAATTGGACTTTGATTTTTCATTTATCACCTGAGAGACATTGGGCAGGTAAGTGAGTTCACTTCCTGGAGCCTCACCTCCATTGTTCAGTGGAGACTATATTACCTGCCTCACAGGATTAGTTTGTGGACTAATGAGATGAGGCCCTGAAAAATGGCTAACAGTGAACTTGGTTCACAGTAGCTGTGTCAGGGACAGATGTAAGAGATGGTTTGGGGGTTTTACCTCAAATTTTTTTATCAGACCTCTCCCAAGCATCCAAAGCAAACATCTTCTGTAAGTAAAAAGTGTGTTTGCTATGCAAATATGCCTTACAAATGCAGCTTTGAAATGTTTCCTAGTCCCTCACTTTCAGCCGAGCTGCTGCTCTTAATTTATTTATTATTTACTTTTAGAGAGAGGGGAAAGAAGGGAGGAAGAGAAGGAGAGAAACATCAATGTGTGAGAGAAACATCTTATCCATTGCCTGGTTGCCTCTCGCATACCTCCAACTGGGGACCTACCTGGTGTGCAACCCAGGCATGTGCCCTGACTGGATATCGAACCAGCAAACTTTCCATCTGCAGGCTGGCACTCAATCCACTGAGCAACACCAGCCAGGACCTAAATGCTTCTCTTATAGAAAAGGTTGGGCACTTTCTCTACTGAGCATCAGAACTTAGTGGGTTTGTCCTCAGGATTGGCATTCAAGGGCCCCCATTACATCCTTGTCTGGCCACTGACTTACCCTGCAAAGGAGGTTCATTTTCATCTCTGGACATCTGCTTTTCCCTAGAAAGGGGTGAAGCTTGGTGCCCACTTCCCAGGGCAGTTTAGGAGGATCAAAATACTGAAATAAAATAAATTACAAAATACAAAATACTTAGTGAATTTCCTCATATCTTACATAGGTTAAGCATTGTAGAATAGGGGTTGGTAATAGCTTAGGCCCAAATCCTGCTCCTCCCAGCATATTTTTGTATGGTCTCAGAGCTAAAATGGTTTTTACCTTTTAAAGGGTTTTTAAAGAGAGGAAGGAAGGAAGGGAGGGAGGAAGGGAAGGAGGGAGGAAGAGAGGAAGGGAGAGGAGAAAAAAAGGAAAGAATATGCCACAGAGACATACGTGGTTTGCAAAACTTAAAGTAGGAACTCTCTGACCCTTTACAAAGTTTATTGACCCCTGTTGTAGGGATAAAACTGAGGCTCAAAGAAAGGGAGGATATTACATACCTGAAACCTCACAACAAAGAAATGGTCAAGCTATGCATCCATTCATCCATCTAAAATATATAGATTGGACTCCCTTTATATATAGAAGGATAAAACACTACGAAAACACGGGATAGTTAGTAAAGTATTTCTCAAAGCGGTTCCAAGGAGCCCAGATGCCAGTAGTTTCTCAGAAACTCAGCTTAAATATGTTCTTAAAACTCTAAAACTCCATAACCTCCTCTTAAAAGGTCACTGTATATCAGCATATCAAGGCTCTGGAAAATCCTGCTGCAAAGAAAATAACTGGTTACCTTTGTTGAACTCAGCATGTCCCAAATGTATTCAGCTGGCGAAGTCTTGTTTTGTTCTGTTTATTTTGATGATAGCTATGTAATATCATTCCTCAGAAACAAATTTTAAAATCATAGGCCAATTGCTTCAGTTCGAAAGCTGGCCCAGCCATTTCCTTGCTTCGGGACCCTGAGCAAGTTACCCAGCCTCTCTGAGTCTCATTGGTGGAGAACACAGACTCATTTCCACCTACACCTCTGATCCCATTTCCTGCCTCTGGAGCCACAGAGACATTCTTGGCAATCTTTCACGCCATTGGGCTGGGGGTAGAGGATGTTGGAGCTTTATTTTTTCTTTCTGGTTGGATGTCATTCTATAACTTCCCCAAAAGACCAAGGCCTCCAGATCACACCAGTTGTGCTTTTATGCCATATATGCCTGGCAAAGGAGGATGGCGAGGGTCAGCTTCTAGAACACTCAACCTTAAAAAGTCAAGAATGTAGGACTCACGGAGACAGATGGAATACAGCCAATAAAAGGATCTGTCAACATCCAGAGACTTGCTGGAACAGGGCTGATTATTTCCTAGAGGTGCTGATGAAGGCATTCGTAATATTAAAAGAATGCAACCATTATGGAATTCAGCCTACACTCTATGATTAACATAGCACAAAATCATGGAATTTCAGCAAGATTCCAGGCTTAGAATGGTAAGCTGGCCTCACAAAAAGATGCCGAACTAAATACTTGCTCCAATTGGTTGGTTCAGCAAGTAGGTTGGCCCTCTTTTGTCTCTGGGTCTTTGCATGTGCTGTTCCCTTTCCTTGAGTCACCCTTTCTCTTGACTTTTGCCTGATTAACTTGAACCCTTCTGTCTCTATGTCAGACTCTGTCAACTCTGTCTTGCAATCTGGACTATAAGTCCTACAAAGGCAGGGATGGGCTTTGTCTTGGACACTGTTACATCTGCAAAGCTTAGCATGCTTCCAAGGGGTGGCATCTCTGGGCCACACTGGAGAAGAAGAGTTGCCTCAGGCCACACATTAAATACATTTTGACACTCACAAAAAACATCTCATAATGTTTTAAATAAATTTACGATTTTGTGTTGGGCCACATTCATAGCCATCCTGGGATGCACATGGTCCGCAAACCTCAGGTTGGACACCCCTGTATCTAGACAAAGTGACTACTCAACAAGCACTTGCAATAAAAAAGGGATTGACTAAGTGTGCACACTCTTTGGACTCCTTGATTCTCAGACACACTGGGGAAACAGAGGCAGCTCTGCAGACTCCATATAAGTGCAATAGAGCTGGGAATGGGACTGAAATCCTCTGACGCTAGGTGTGAGACTCTATTTCATACCCCTCGATCGCATCTTAAATAATTTAATTCCTCCGCAGCAGAGCGTCCATGGCCTCATTCTAGTTTTTCTTGTCATCACTTTAGAGGTTAAGACTGTTTCAGAGAATTGTTTTATAACAAATGGGATCTTGGGGTAGAGAAAAATTTACCTCATTCTCAGGGGTAGGAGAAATGTGTACTTTTGGACCTTGGATTTAAATGAGCCAGCAAATCCCTGCTAATTCTCTTCCATGGCTGGGTCCTGTCTGCTGCTTCATATTCAGCAGAGAAAGCCAGCCTGTGTCACCCATGATTTATGCCCTGCTGTTTGTTCTCTTCCCCTAGAACATTAAACACCGGGAGCAGAAGGGGAAAAAGAGGTAATCTCAGGATGCCTGGCTGCTAGTAGGGTGTCTGGGGCAGGCTCTCTGCTCTGGTGGGAAATGGGAGGAGGCTGAAATGCAGGGGAGTGAGGGGAGGTAAGAAAAAGAAAAAGACCCATGGGGCTTCTACATAAAAGGAACAAGGGAGCCTCTGTTTGCTCCAACCTTTGAAAAAAACATTGGCCTCTGAGCTGAGAGACCTGGGTACTTGATTTACTTGTTTACTGAGTGCCTTTGGGCAAGACTTTCCTTTCTCTGAATCTCAGTTTCCCCAGTTGTTAAAGGAGGGTCTGGAAGACTTGCGCTCCCCACTGCCTCAGGGATCTGAAGCTAGTTGGTGCACAGGCCTTGCAAGGAGGGGGGGGCATAGTGCAGTGGTTAAATTAACCACGTGGACTCCACCTTCACCTCCTACTGGCTGTGTAACCTTGAGCAAGCTCCTTGCCTCTCTTGAGTCTCGTCTGCATGATGGGTTCATCTCTTGGACCTTTCTCACTGGTTTGCTGAGAACTAAAGCTTCCAGTGGTACTGGTACTGAGCCAGTATTTAATAAGAGTCAGCTCTTATTGGGGCTGTTGTTCCTGAGACTGTCCCAAAATGTGGCCTTGGTGTTTCTCTCTACCTGAGTTCACTGCTTGGGGCCTGGCTGGTGGGGGCAGGGCATCCCTGCCAGCACTTGGAAATTCTGGGCAGAAGGGAGGAGGAGCTATTTTCAGTGGATTCTGGTTCTATTTGTAGCTGTGAGTTGGCCCAGGCTGCAGAGAAGCTTTGGGTAGAGCAAGCTGGGCGCTGAAACGAGTGTGTTGTCTTTTATCTTGGAAGGTAGGGGAGAGGAAGTAGACAGGGAAGGGTGGTGGAGAGGAGGAAGAAAAGCCTCCTTTCTCCCCCATGGTCCACCTCCCCTGAAATCCCTTTCTATCCTGTTCTTGTTAATTTCATCCCCTCTGACTTCCCTGGGGCAATTTAGAGGGGGGGGTGACTGCTATTTCAAAGGTGGATTTAGTTAGTAACGGCAGAAGCAATCCATCCATCCATCAATCAATCACGTTAACACAGTGTTCCCAACCAAACAGCACTGATTCTTCTATTCCCAGCAGAATTGCAGGTTATTTGTTAAGGCGTGAGCAGTGTCCAAACCACCAAACACCTAAGTCATTTATCAAAGTATAGAGGAAGCTCGCTCATTTCCCCACTGGATCCTGGGGCAGAACCTAGCCACAACCATCTCCCCCCACCTCACTCCCAACCATGTGACTAGGCAACTTGCTTAACTTTTCTAGGTATCAGTTTCTTCATTTGTTGAATTGGGGGGTTGGGGGTATACCAGGGAGACTTTTGGAGTTCTTGAGTTCTTTCCAGCTGCAATTCTGTGATTCTTTGATGCAATAATTGAATAAGATAAGGCTGGATCCTTTAATCAAAGGATGGTTGGTAAGATTGGGAGGCTCCAAAGAGAAGATAGCAGCCTATCCTGTCATTTTTGGATGAGAAAACTGAGGCCTTGAGGGTGGGGCCAGGTCAGACAATGAGTCAGCTGAGTCAGGAATCCAGGCCTCCTACCTCCCCTTGCAGCAGGCCATCCCTGACATTAGGCTGCCAGGCACCTCTCCCTGGGAGAATGGGGAGG